CTGTTTGAAGGGTGGAGATTTCACCCCTCCTTCTACATCCCAGATCTGGATCTATCCCACATCACATTGCATGCGTTAGGGGATACGATTATTGGAGGGAATGTAACATGGTTTTTAAAAGAAGCGTCCTAATTTCTGTGACCAATGTTCCTCATAGATTAACATTCTGATGTGAGATCTGCCCCAAACATGATCCTGCTCCTTTGCACTGACACTGGGTATTGCCATGAAGCACCTCATCATCTGCTTTATGACAATTCTTTTCTGCTGCACATCTCAGGTTCATCTAAAGAGTGTTACAATGAACAAGATGGTGTTCCCTCCCACCCCATGTCCAAAGGCTGATTGGAAAGGCAGCTGCTTCTTTTTTTCAAGACTGCAGTATACAGTATCGCTAAGGGACAGGCCTAATCAAGGTTGTTCAACATTGGCCACAGAAATTAGGACGCTTCTTTTAAAAACCATGTTACATTCCCTCCAATAATCGTATCCCCTAACGCATGCAATGTGATGTGGGATAGATCCAGATCTGGGATGTAGAAGGAGGGGTGAAATCTCCACCCTTCAAACAGAGACAAGAGACCTGTGGGTTCCTGGAGGCTGGCTACCCAAGAGACCATCTCTGGTCCTTGGCACACTTTTTCCCTTTTCCCTTTGTGGGAAAAAGAAGGGGAGTCCTTCTCAGCCCAGCCCAGATATCCAGGGCCAATCCCTGCTGTTTCAGGAACCTTCATTCTGAGAAATGTTGGGGATTAACTTTCCTGATGGCCTAGTAGTGAAAGTGAAAAAGACGAGTTCTAGGCGCAGGAGCCAGGCCAGGAAAGCAGTTGGCAGCCCAGCCTACCTAACCACCACTGAGCCCTGTCAAAGCTGAGACTAGTTTTCATTCAAAAGTTCGTGGTTGCTCTGCTGGGTTCCAGAGCCTGGGTCTGTTTACGTGGTTGCCGCAGCAACGCTGTTCCGAGTCAGCCCAGGGCTACTGGTCATTCGTACTCTGGACCAGGTCGCCGACAGAAGGAGCTTCAGGGCTCTCCTGCTGGTGGCTCTTGGTTGGGCAAGAGGTTCCCTTCAACCAGGCTCTCCGGCATCAGCGCATAGTGGGGAACCGAGAAGGATATCCGGAGCTTTCAGAGTGAGTGACCAGGACAGGCTGTGGGACAGAATGGAGGGCAAGGGTGGGCATCTTTTGGCTCCCAGCACCCAGCCAGCAGAGAGTACAGTTAAAATAGGAGGAGAGGGGAAATTCCTACGAGTAGCAGTGTTGATTTGTTACATTTTCGGAACCTTGGGGGATCTGGTCCCCAACCTACATAACATAAAAAATCATTGCTACTGGAGTCCTTTAGAAGTGGAAAACCCACTTTTTCAAACCTCCCTCCCCACCCAAAAAAGTTGATCAATGTCCTGGGGTGCATTTTGCCCATCTGGTTTAAGGGCACTTTTTCTGATCTAGGAAAGAGGTGACCGGAATTGGGGGGGGGGTCATCCTTTGCTAGGTACCAAAGCAACAACTTGGTTACTTAACTTCAGCAAGCTTTCCCTGAGTTACTGGCTGCCAGAGTGGGGTTTTTCAATGGATGGGCGTGCCTTACTGCTTTGAATCTGTTTTTTTATGGTGTTGCTCTTGTTTACCATTTTTTTAGTGTACCGTTTATTTGATCCTTTTAACTATTTGTATACTTACTGTTGTTAGCTTTGTCTTTTAATGATATAAGCCAACCTAGATTCTTTTTAAAGAGAAAGGTGGTGTAAATATATTTTAAATAAATATCCAGTCTTGGGGCTTCTGAATGAAATGCAGAGGGTTTAAAATAAAATTAAACAGGGATTTTAAAACAAGCCCAACAAAGCTCTAAGGTTGTGCAAAGAGTGAGGGGAAATTCTGAGAGCAAGGGTTAAGGCAGGGAAAGAGGAAGAAGGACCTCTGGATTGGTAAACCTTGGACAGAATTCTGTATATAATTAAAAAATGGAAAGAAACCAAAATCTCAAGATGAATCAGAAGCATTTTGCAAAAAGAAAAGTTACTTATCAGTGTCCAAATAAACCTCTCATAACACGACCGTCCCAGTGATGGGTCTTCAGTTAATAAATTCAGCTGACAATGCAAGACCAAAATTCATTTAAATTTTTTTTTGTAAATTTATTTATACAGTAATTGGAAAATAAACCTATGATACAAACATAATCCACAAAAAAAGAAAATTAAGAAAAATATGATCATGAATACAAAGTAATACCCCTTAATCCACAATTATCCTTATTAATAACATTTAGTGATTCCACACCACCAGGACCTTTTGAGATACCTCTATTATTATTATTATTATTATTATTATTATTATTATTATTATTATTATTATTATTATTAATGTATTGTTGACTTGGGAGAGACGAGTTTCTTCATTAATTTATTATTTATTTTATTTATATGCTTCCTTTCACCCCACAGGAGACTCACAGTGGCTCACAGTCAATTAAAACTACACATCATCATCATCATCATCATCATCATCATCATCATCATCATCATCATCATCATCATCATCATCATCATCATCATCATTAAAAACTCCAGACACATTCAAAATTATAAAAATATTGACTGGTATTATTTATTTATTTATTTATTATATTGATATCCTGCCCATCTAGTCGTTTGACTATTCTGTACAAAATAAGCAATTAAAATAGCATCATTATCAAGATTGAGAAGTAATTCAAGATGGAAAAAAAATAAAGAAGATAGATCAAAAAGTGCCCAGAGGGAAGGCCTGCCTGAATAGCCAAGTTTTTAATTGGCTTTTAAAAATACCCAGTGAAGGGGCCATACGAATCTCTGGAGGCAGATTATTCCATAACCGATTATATAACAGATACAAGTTTTAACCAAAAACCTAAGTATCTGTTTTTTATTATTAGTAGTAGTAGTAGTTTCATCATCATCATCATCATCATCATCATCATCATCATCATCATCATCATTCCCTATTCCTCATTACAAAGCCCCTTCTCCCTCCTAAAATTGTTATGTTTCTTGTGTTGTTAATCTTGCATGTCAATTTATTGTTAATGGCTAAATTTCATACTTCTTTTTACCATTCACTTAATTGAAAGTTATATTCAATTTTTTTTTTGCTCTAATTAAGTCTTGCTGTAACTGCTAAATTTGTAACTAATTCTTTTTTTGACCATCCAAAATTCATTCTGAGTTTCCCAACCACCATCCAGAGTCAACCTCAATCAAAGAGGTGAAAATCCATGTGCCAGTCCAAGAAAGAACGAAAGGAGGGATTTCCCAGGAAAAAGGGAGGGAGGGTACCAATACCAATGCAAAGAATTACAAGGAAGGATTTTGTTGAGGATGGGGGGATAGGAAATAATACGCAACATACATAAGCAGTTTTCTTTTAAAAATATAAATAAAAATGGAAAATTTGACTACAAGCCAAACTGATTACATTAAGTTTTTGTTAATAATTACTTAGAGGGGGAAACCCATTTTTATAAATGTGGGAAGAATAGCAATGTCAATTCAATTTTTATTTAATTTTTATTAATTTTTTTAACAGAGGGCTGGAAAATAAGTCAGTCATTTTCCAAGTGACCAGGATAACACAAGTTT